CCGATCTTCATCACGTTTTTGCCTAAGGCATTGTTTGAACAATGGCGGAGGGTTGCTAATATATACTTCCTTCTGGCTGCTTGCCTCTCCGCCTCTCCAATTTCACCTTTCAGCTCTCTCAGCATGATTGCCCCTTTGGCGTTTGTTGTGGGGCTTAGTATGGCAAAGGAGGCATTGGAGGATTCGCGCCGGTTCCTTCAGGATGTTAAGGTTAATCGCAGGAAAGTTAGTTTCCACAAAGGTGATGGCGAATTTGGTCTCAGGTCGTGGCAGAATATTATGGTTGGGGATGTGGTAAAAGTAGAAAAGGACCAGTTTTTTCCCGCTGACTTGCTTCTGTTGGCGTCAAGTTATGAGGATGGGATATGCTATGTGGAGACAATGAATTTAGATGGGGAGACCAACTTGAAGGTGAAGAGATCATTGGAGGCTACCTTGTCTCTGGATAATGATGGAGCTTTTAAGGATTTCTCTGGAACAATATATTGTGAAGATCCAAATCCCAGTCTTTACACTTTTATTGGGAACTTTGAGTACGAACAACAGGTTTATCCTCTTGATCCTAGTCAAATACTCCTCCGAGATTCAAAGCTCAGGAACACGGATCATGTCTATGGAGTGGTCATTTTCACTGGACATGACAGCAAAGTTATGCAGAATTCTACAAAATCCCCTTCAAAAAGAAGCACAATTGAGAAAAAGATGGATTATATCATATACACTCTTTTCACTGTTCTTATATTGATATCTTTTATTAGTTCAATAGGATTTGTTACAAAGACCAAATACGAAACCCCAAAGTGGTGGTATTTACGGCCTGACAATATTGAATACCAGTATGATCCTGGTAAAATTGGATTGGCTGGGATGAGCCATCTGATTACTGCACTCATTCTTTACGGATATTTGATACCCATTTCGCTTTATGTTTCAATTGAGGTTGTGAAGGTATTACAGGCAACCTTCATTAACCAAGACATTCAAATGTATGATGATGAAACTGGGACTCCAGCTGATGCACGAACATCAAATTTGAATGAAGAGTTGGGCCAGGTAGACACTATCCTCTCTGATAAAACTGGCACTTTAACTTGCAACCAGATGGACTTTTTGAAGTGCTCCATTGCTGGTACTGCATATGGTGTTCGCTCCAGTGAAGTTGAAGTTGCTGCAGCGAAGCAGATGGCTTCTGATCTTGAGGAGCAGGACGAGGAGTTCTCTAGTTTCCCCATGTGTAAGGAGAGAAAAGTGTCATGGGAAAACACCACAGTAGATGAAGAAATTGAACTGGGGACTGTTGTTCCTTCCAAAAATGATGAAGATCAAAGGCCTGCCATAAAGGGATTTGGGTTTGAAGATGATCGCCTTATGAATGGTAACTGGTTGAAAGAACCCGACACCAATGTCCTTTTGTTGTTTTTCCGGATATTAGCAGTTTGCCATACTGCCATTCCTGAACTGAATGAGGAGACCGACAGTTGTACATATGAAGCCGAATCACCCGATGAAGGGGCTTTTCTAGTAGCAGCTAGAGAATTTGGTTTTGAATTTTATAGGAGAACTCAATCAAGTGTCATCATTCGTGAAAGATTTTCTGCTTCAGGACAAGTGGTTCAAAGGTGAGGTGGTCTTATCTCTTTCCTATTTTTTTTTTTCTTTTTTCCGTAAGGGAGGGGGGCCTCTGACATTTTCTTTTGAATTCTTTCAATTGTAATATCATATTTCTTGCCTTTTATTTGTATATTTATATGTTTTTGTGTTTTGGTTGAGCTATACAGAGAATATAAAATTTTGAATCTGCTGGATTTTACTAGCAAAAGAAAGCGCATGTCAGTGATTGTGCGTGACGAGGATGGAAGCATTATTCTTTTCTGCAAAGGAGCCGACAGGTTAGCATATTAACGTGACTTCTATCTAAAATATTGTCAGCTTGGCTGAATTGACGGTGTTAATGATCAAGTAGGACCTTCTATCGATTTCTACAATGGAATAATTAAAATCTTCTTTGTGTTCGTGGAGTTTATACTCTAGTTACTACTAGCATACTATAAAATCACAGCAACTCCCTGCATCATGAGAATGCTTATGAAAATACACATGCATGTTGTTAAAAAAAGGCTTTCAATGTCCCTCTCTAAACTTTGAAGTCCATTATTTTCTTGCTTGGTTTTGCAGTATCATATTTGATCGACTGTCTAAGAATGGAAAAATGTATTTAGAGGCTACAACTAGACATTTGAATGAATATGGAGAAGCAGGTTTGAGAACACTTGCCCTGGCTTACAGAAAGCTTGATGAACAAGAGTACTTTGATTGGAATAACAAGTTTCAGAAGGCCAAGACAGCTGTTGGGCCTGACAGAGATGCAATGCTTGAGCATGTTTCAGATATTATGGAAAGAGAGTTGATTCTTGTTGGAGCTACCGCTGTTGAAGATAAACTACAGAAAGGGGTAGGTTGAATCGTTATTTATGTAGTCACAATATGTTGTTGCTTCTCTCTCTGTCTCCACCACTTAACTTTTTATTCTCCTCAGGTGCCTCAATGCATTGATAAACTTGCTCAAGCTGGTCTAAAGCTCTGGGTATTGACTGGTGATAAGATGGAAACTGCAATCAACATTGGGTCAATCCCAAAAATTGGTGCTTGACATCATCTTCTAAGGCATATGTTAGAGTTTTCCCATCAATAATTAGTGCAAACGCTGCATGTGGATCTTTTTCCAGCTTTATCAGTTGTGTGGCATTGGTGATTTGATTCAAGATGCTGCCTTTAATGACCTGAGGGGTTACAAGAGCTAGGCCTAATATCAGATGAAAGTCATGTCTATTAGTAAATTAATCTACTCTATCTCAATGAAAAAAATACCTCTTTCCCATCATTAATTGCTGGATCTGAATTCGTTGTGATACAGATTTGCTTCATGCCCTGTCGAAGCAAACTACAAGCGAAACTGCACCACATAAACATAAGTTTCAGCAAACTCAATAACAGAGGTACATTCGAATAACTTAAAACTTCAATTTAGAACAGAAATGAAAGTGTTATGTAGTTAAATAATTTGCAATAGCCAGACCCAATGTTGATTGCAGTTTCCATCTTATCACCAGTCAATACCCAGAGCTTTAGACCAGCTTGAGCAAGTTTATCAATGCATTGAGGCACCTGAGGAGAATAAAAAGTTAAGTGGTGGAGACAGAGAGAGAAGCAACAACATATTGTGACTACATAAATAACGATTCAACCTACCCCTTTCTGTAGTTTATCTTCAACAGCGGTAGCTCCAACAAGAATCAACTCTCTTTCCATAATATCTGAAACATGCTCAAGCATTGCATCTCTGTCAGGCCCAACAGCTGTCTTGGCCTTCTGAAACTTGTTATTCCAATCAAAGTACTCTTGTTCATCAAGCTTTCTGTAAGCCAGGGCAAGTGTTCTCAAACCTGCTTCTCCATATTCATTCAAATGTCTAGTTGTAGCCTCTAAATACATTTTTCCATTCTTAGACAGTCGATCAAATATGATACTGCAAAACCAAGCAAGAAAATAATGGACTTCAAAGTTTAGAGAGGGACATTGAAAGCCTTTTTTTAACAACATGCATGTGTATTTTCATAAGCATTCTCATGATGCAGGGAGTTGCTGTGATTTTATAGTATGCTAGTAGTAACTAGAGTATAAACTCCACGAACACAAAGAAGATTTTAATTATTCCATTGTAGAAATCGATAGAAGGTCCTACTTGATCATTAACACCGTCAATTCAGCCAAGCTGACAATATTTTAGATAGAAGTCACGTTAATATGCTAACCTGTCGGCTCCTTTGCAGAAAAGAATAATGCTTCCATCCTCGTCACGCACAATCACTGACATGCGCTTTCTTTTGCTAGTAAAATCCAGCAGATTCAAAATTTTATATTCTCTGTATAGCTCAACCAAAACACAAAAACATATAAATATACAAATAAAAGGCAAGAAATATGATATTACAATTGAAAGAATTCAAAAGAAAATGTCAGAGGCCCCCCTCCCTTACGGAAAAAAGAAAAAAAAAAATAGGAAAGAGATAAGACCACCTCACCTTTGAACCACTTGTCCTGAAGCAGAAAATCTTTCACGAATGATGACACTTGATTGAGTTCCCCGGGAACCGAATTCTGAGCTTGAACAGTGAATAGTTTTATCTGTGTAAATAAACCTGCACAGTGATTATTTGGGTATTTTTTTTAAAAAAAAATAATATTTACGTAAAAAATTCTTCAGTTTCCACTCCATCTCCATTCATATATGCTTTTTTAGCAACGTTCTTGAAGGTGCCCTTACATATACATATATTAAGTCTTCAAAATTTGTAGCCAAACGGGTCGAGTCATGTTTGTTACGAGTTTTGAAAAATGAAAATTTATTCTCTGGTCTTATTCATTTCTAAGAATGTCTTCTTATTATGTTTCTTACTTTTCTTTATTCATGTAATGTGGTATTTCTATGAGAATATTGGAAGTTACATCTTAACATAGTTATAATTTTTTTAATTAAATTATTTTAAATCTGAAAATATTTAAAAATATATTAAAATGTAATCAAATACATTTTGAATATCATTCCAGTTGAAATATTTCGTGAAATGCAATATGAAATTCCGAAACAAACTTCCCCTTATTTCACGGTTCACAACTTCTCATTATTGGTCTCACTCATGAAATGGAGGCCACTTTTCATGTGATAAAGTCAATTGCAGTTACCACTTGTTCACATTCCACAACCCAAAGTCCAACCCCTAGTCCACCTCACCAATTATTCATTCCAATAAGCTTTTTTCTTTGACCTTTTTCTTTCTTAAAAATATTTAATGCTTCTATTTCTTTAATTTAATGAAACATTTATAAATTACTAATGAAATACTATTTTATTAATTACATTAAATTTTAAAAAACTTTTATGTTAATTATATTTAACATGTGATAATTCATAATTATATAGAGTTAATTTTATCTTTATAATTACAATAGAAAATTAAACATTACATAAAGGCATAAATGAATTAGTGTAGATTCATTTTAACTTGATTAATAATTTTGAATTCAATTTTAAATATACAAAATGTTTTGGTTGCCAATATTCGAGTTTTAACAAGTAATGTGGTATATAAACATTAATAAACAAGTTTTGACCGAATGGAAATAAAAATTCCATCATTAATTTTAGTTTTGTTTTTACACATTAACTTATCACATTAGTATTATATTTGTTTTTCTTTTAACATATGATGGCGAATCTGTGTGGTGAGTAAAGAAGTTTGGTGACGCATCAGATTCAGGCATGGCATCTGCTCTCTCATCACTTTCTACTTTCACTTCCATGTCACGGGCTTCTTTCATCTTCATCAATAAATATAATATTTTTTTATTTTATTCTAATATATTAATTTTATAGACTATTGTCAAATAGTAGTTAATTATTATGTATCATCAAATTGTTCAATTTTATAATAATTACTTAAAAACTATATTTAAAATAATTACATTAGTTAATAATATATATAAAAAAATCGGTAAAATGAACTGCATTTTAACAAATTTTCATCTAATTCACATACTAATGGACGGGTTTATGAACCTGATAATAAAAAATATTAAAAAAAAATCTAACATCGTATTAACAATATATATATATATATATATATATATATGTGCGTCAATTAATTACATAATAAAATCTAAAAGAAAATTTATGTACATGGTCAAACATGAAGTAAAACATAAAAAAAAAACTCAATATCTTAAACTTGTTACATAAAAAAATATATAAATATTAATGTACCATGAAAGATGTTAATGTATACAATTTGTATTTGTCAAAAGGTACTATAAAATAATATTAAAAATATTTAAAATTGATAATCGGTCAAACTCATATACTCTACCATACTTAGTATAGTATTGAAATTAAATTCTAATTCTTTTACATTTTTATATATTGCGTTGTTTTTTTCTTCTCTTTTTACTATCACTTTACGTTATTTAATATATTTTTTCCTCTTTTGTTTATTTCTCTCTCAATCTTTATATATATAATTATTTTATTGTAATAAATTATAACTTAATTTGTATTAAAAATATAACTAATATTTTAGCATGTAAAATGCATTATATATATATATATATGATTTTAAATTTGATTTTAGGCCTGTTAAAATCTTTTAATAATTCAAAATTCTTATGGTAGAAAGATTATGAGAACTTTTACAAATATGAATTAAAAATTAATATATATATATGTTCCACAAAAGGAAGCACAAAAGCTGAATGATCCTATAGTTTTTAGGAAAACATAGTTTTAAGCCTAAAAGAATACTGTGGTTAATTATTAAAATAATGGTAATGTTTAGTTAACCAATAAGATATTATTGTTGGTATAATTTTTTAATTATTTATTATAAAAGCAAAAAATTTATCATAAATTTTTATATTTGGATAATAATGTAAAATTATTTTACATTTATCATCTATTTTGAAATATATATATATATATATATATATATATAATAATTTAATGTGTTTGTTCATATATATAATATTTTATCAAATTTCATGGATTATAAATGAACTCTTAATTTTAAAGACTAAATTGCAAATAGAAAGATGAAGGATTTAATTAAAAAAAAAAAAGTTTAAGAACCTAATTAAAAACTTTCTAAAAAATTCAAGAACAATGATGTATTAAACTTACAGTTATTTTCTTCAATTCATTGAAAAAATCGTAGAAAATTCGTTTTCTTCATATTTTCCTAAAATTTTATTTTTTATAAAATAATAATGCTACTTGCAAATTTTTACACACAAAAAAAAAAATTATAGATAAAATTTTCAATTTTTTTTATTCTGTAACATACGGGAGTATTAAAAATCAGAAAGAGAAACACGAGGAATGTTATTTGAATAAAAGACAAAAATATCACTACAAATTATTTTAATACCATAATAATCAATTAAAAATAATAAATATTTAGGTACATTTAATTATACATTATAATATTTGAAAATATTTAATAAGCTAGAGCACTGTATGGAGATTTTTGTTTTATAATCTGTAAAGGTTTTGGGCATTGTTTTTGTACTTTTACAGGGCTGGAAGCTTTGTTTGTGCTGATATGAACCACATACTATATTGAAGTTGACTGAATTGAAACACAAAAGGGCAACAATCTAATTCTTCGAGTTTAGTTTGTTGCTGCATTTGTCCATTCATCATCATGTACCACGTACACTCCATATGTGGATATTCATATCAATTCCTTTCTCCATTAACGCACACAATATGTGGCCTCCGTTTTCTTCTGTTAGATAAGTAGGTATCATAACACTAACATGTCTACTTATTTTTTATTCACACCACACTAAAAATAATTGCAATTAATTACTTATATTATTTAACTAACTGAATCAGATTTCTTTTTATATAATTAATTACATACGACCATGTAAATCAACTGATATATATAGAATTATTCTAATTAATTAAATCAATGATCTTGAGTTCAATATATAAGTATGCAGTTATGCTATTAAATACTCGAAATTTAATAGGAAAACTTTGTGGTAGTAGGAAAACTTTGTCATAGAGAGAGAAATTTATTTCTACAATTATTCTATACAACTTGAACAATATTACTTCTAATTAAGGATATGATACTTTTAGCCTAGTCAAAAATAAAAATAATTACAACTGCTAGAATCAATCCAATAGAAAAAAAAAAGTTGAAATAATTTGCATAAAGTTTAAATTCAAGCATAATTGTTGTCATTGTGTAGAAAAAAAAAAAACAATCAAATTTATTATGAAGAGGTCTAAATTTTTTACACAAGTTTGACACTTTTTATGATTATAAAATCTTACTTTAGTGACATATTTACCCAAAGAGATTTCTTGGCACAATAGGTAAAAATTTCTTACTGATCCTCGGTTTAACAAATAAAATTCTGAATTAAATTGGATATTATTTAACTTTGACTAACCACTAAATAAAAAATGGTACTTGGTCTAAATTCCAACATGTTATTGGTTGCCTACCCTATAGTCATGGTGTGTTATCTCTTGTCTATTATCTTACTCATGAAAAAATAGAAGTTGTTGAACTGGAAAATATTAGATATCTATTTTCAGAAAAAAAAATATTTTTTATAATAAAACGCAACATAAAATTGATATTTGAAATACATAACAAATGAGTAAAAATACTTTTGAAGCAATGTGAATGCATAAGAAAATAAAAGAAACGATAAGAGTAACAGGTTGCACAAAGTGGAAAATAACATCTCCAAATGTGGTAAATTAATAAAAGATTAAAAAAAACATTCAAGGAAAATAATATAAAATAAAAATGATGCTTAAGTTTAAACTCTCATTACTTATAAGAAACTTGCATTGAAGCATGCTCAGATAGCAGGTCAAATTGCTAAAGAGAATGCAGAATATTTGAACAACCAATATGAACTGGCTAGGCGATGTAGCAGGTTTTGCCTTCTAATTAATTTACTTGAAAAATCTGGAGCATACAATTGAATAGAATGTTTATTTTCGAATTTCCATTTTGGGAGAAACGTGGTGTTTTGCCTCTGAGCATTTAAGTCCATGCGCGTGAATGTTGGTAATTAATTAAGTATTTGCATAATAAAATTTAGACAGCTACTCTGAATTCTATCTATCGTAGGGAGGTAAACGGAAAATGTGGATCTGGCCTTTGAATTTTGAGAGAGGGTTGCATCCAAAGGGCGAGCACCATGATATCCAACTTGCAATCTCGTTGGACCATTTTCGTGAATGTGCACGTGATCATGCTTACCCATCGTCTACACTTATTAATCAATAGAGATAGCAAACATGAACCCCATTTTTCGGTGTTTTTGCAAGATAAAAAGAGAGAGAGAGGGAGAAAAAGTTAAGTGTTGTGATAGGGGAGAGAGAGAGAGAATATAAGAAATAAAGTAAAGATGAAGGTATATAATTGCATGAACAATTTGAATTTTAGGTTGCAATTTTGTAAATTTTATATTTTCTATAAAACAATTACTAACTATGCTAAATTATTCTGTGTCTCAATTAATGATGGAGTTTTCATAAAGATACTAAAAGTGTAGTTTCCATCCAATTTGAAGTTTGTGGATGATTGGATGAGTTATGTGAATCGTAGACAAAGTCATATTTATATTAAACAATGGTAGAAGTAGTGAATAAAATGAAAAATCAAATTAAGTGAAGAGTGATTATTCCCTTGATTAGAAAACGATAGGGGATGTGGGTTATTATATTAATTAAGGATTTTGTTGCAAGAAACAAGGTGAGTTTGATCTGGGAAGAAAAAATATTCCCTCGTGCAAGTATGGTACGGTCAACAGTTGAAGTCAATATACATAGAAGGTGTAGTCAATAAGAAGAAGGTATGAGGCCAAATAAAAATAAAAGAACAAGGAAGACTGCAAGAGGCTGCTCATCAACAAAACGCAAATGACATCACAAACTGGAATCTACTCAATGCCTTAATTAATAGCTTAAATTAATGTATTTTCTGCCCTAAATTTTTATTTTTTGCCAATTTTATTCTCAAATTTTGTAAACTGTATCATTTCATTTCTCAGCTGTCCATCAAAAATATAAATAGAATGTTATCATTAATGTTAAGTTTGATTGTAATTTATGTCTCCAAATTTTTAATTTATTGTGAATTTTGGTCGCACATAACTTATTTTGCAAACTCTATTTCTAAATCTTGATAATGTTGCGAATGGAAATTAATTGTAAAACTATACTCACATAAGTATAAACAACATTTTAAGTTTGAATTAATATTTATTGAATATAACTCACACACACACATATATATATATATAT